GCTCTGATACCCACTGACATAAGCGAAAGTGATAAATTTGTTCACAAGGAACGGTTTGCTTTAAATCCATAAAGTAGGGTGTTTTGAATCTATAAAACGAAGGATAAATTCAAAGAAATATGATATTTGTGTTGATAATTGAATGAATCATTCTAATCTTTGCATTACACATATTTATAATGAAAAAAAAAACCCTAATACATAAAGAAACTAACTGCAACACGAATCCTTATAACATAAGGAAACCTAATCCTAAAAGGATACTAATACTCAAAAAATATCCTAAAAATAAAGTTTCTCTAAAAATTCAAAAAAATAGAGAAAGAAACCTAATAAAATACAACTACTAAATATAAAATATGAGTGCAATCCGAGTTTGTTTAGACAATGAACAAAAATCCTGAAATATTCAACAGGATTTATATAGGATAGAAAAACCCCGTTTTAAGGCCCTAAAAGATGGTATTTTGCCGATAAACTAGTTATATCATGGTGTAGTCACGAGTCTTGCTTGTTGGGCCGTTTCCAATATATAATAATAAAAAATAAAAATAAATAAAAAAACACTCATGTCGGGTAAAAAATGCACACTTCCAGATCAGCATAAAAAATCTGTTCACATGCCTATTTGGCCCCATGGCGGTCGAAACGAACCATAAAGGGTTCAACAATCAGTTTGATCTACATCACTAGTCGTACACGTATTTTTCAAAAGTATCTGTTAAACGATTAGTTACTATCCAAGCGGACTGATCCCGTCCCACGTAACTAGCTGTAAATAAAAAAGGAAAGATTGAATCTTGTCTAGTTTGGTTTCTTTTCTTGGCTAGACTTTTGCAAGACAATATATGCACAAAATAACTTATTTTCCAAGTATGATTAGGTCTGCAAAATTCTATATGAACATTTTTTTCTCTATATATAGCTTTTGTGTGACTTTTTGGAACTAAAATTTCAAGGATTTTGTGAGAGCCTTAGAGAGATAATTTTATTCAGAAAATCAAACTTGATTTTTCTAATTTTATTTTTGAGAGCACACATATAAACACAAGAGTGATTTAGGAGTGGTGTTCTTTATCTGATCGGAATTGAAGCGTAATTGAAGATTCAGAGAATTCGAGAAGTATGATTTTTTTTTCCTAAATAAATATGATTTTTTTTCCCTAAATAAATATGATTTTATTTTTTTACATCAAATTCAGATTTGAAGAAAATAGGTGATTCAATCAAACTTTGAAGGGGTCAAAGCATTAATGAAGTGTTGTTGATCTATCAGGGAATCATTTTACAAAAGATTTCTATAATTTTCTAACTGCCCAAGCGGGACTAGTCGCATACCTCGCAACTAGTCGTCCAATTAAAGTTTTCCAATTTACGTTTGTGAGAAAACTCATTGGCATAGCGGGACTGGTCGCACCCCACAGAACCAGTCGCATAAACATTTTTCAAAAGTACTTGTCAAACGATTTCTCATTGTCCAAGCAGGACTGGTCGCGTGCCACGCAACAAATCGCGCTCTTACAAACAAAAAAAGAAAGATTGAATCCTTGTCTAGTTTGGTTTCCTTTCTTGGCTAGATATTTGCAAGACAATACATGCACGAAAAATAACTTATTTTCCAAGTACAATTAGGTCTACAAAAATCTATATAAACACTTTTTCTCTCTAGCTTTTGTCTTTTGGAAGTAAAATTTCAAAGATTTTCTGAGAGCCTTCTGATTTTAGTTTTGAAAGCACAAACATAAACACAAGAGTGCTTTAGGAGTGGCATTCTTTATCTGATCGGAATTGGGGCGTTATTGGAGATTCAGAGATTCCGAGATGCGGGATTTTATTTTGTATGTTAGGATTTGGGTATTATTTTTTTTTTTGCTTTTTGTTTTCTCATTGGGAATGAAAAGAATATGTTTTCTTTGTTTATACGATTGATATTTATTTCTCTAAAATTCACTATATTTTTATGAATGCAAATTGGGACACATGATTATTTGATTAATGAAGTTCTTGAGGTGTAATATATACTTGTAAAGATCAATTTGCTATCTTTTATTTATTTTTAGATATGAATCTTTTGAGTTCATAAAAATATATATTTATATTTTTTTTGTGCACTAGTCCAACTCTGAGAAATTCAATTGAAAATTACTGTGAAGTTTATTATATTAAATTGCTCATAAAAGTTATAAAGGTTATTTTTTTTATAAAAAAAATAGAACATATGTTTTAAAAAAAAACCCTACATGAATAGAAAAGAAAAATTGAAATTCTGAATATATTTGCTAAGGAAAATGCTACCTAGTAATACTAGTTTGAAAGCTCCTACTAGACTTTGAAGTCTAGTATTTTGATTTAAAAGAAAGGTGGAGACAAGTCCAAATAGGGAATTGATGTCTACTATTTAGAGTGAAAACCGCATTGCTTAGAAAAGTGTGGGAAAAAAATGAAAAATTCCTATGCAGTATGAGACATATTGTGCATAAACCATTGCACATCCAAGACACCTCCATATGCTATCACTTGTTCCCATTATCTTCAATGCATTGTTAAGGTAACATTGCTAGTTTTTTTTTATTAATCATACGTTTGGATCCTTTATTGCATTTTGATGCTAGAAATCTAGGTTATGATTGATTGAAGAGTTTAGGAAATTCTTGAGGTTTTAGTTGATTTTGGGTGATTGGATAATCATTATCTTTGAAGTCTTTAATCTTCTTCATTTATATTTAAGGATTTGTGTTCATATTTGTGATTTGAATCCATTGGGGATCACTTTCAAACTTGAGGTTAGAATTAATGCATTATAAGTGTTTGATATATTACCTCAACAAAGTTTGCCTATCTTTTGAGTCCAATTTTGACATTCTAGTAATAACTCCAAAAAGACTAATGTCTTTGAAATTGTGGTGGACAATGAAGTGATAGGTTAACTCATTAAGTCAATTTGGATGATAAGAATTAATTCTTAGATCTTTAAGATTTTGATCATAGAAGTTTAAGGCTTATGACTTGAAAGTTATGTTTTTTGCTCATGTTGAGATCTAGAGATGCTTAAGTGTTCATTACTTGATTTTATAGACATTGATGATATTGATTATCGAATATATTTTTGGATATATTTTGATAATCATATCTATATTTGAATGTCTTTTGGTGATACTATTATAATGATGATAGCTATTGCTAGATACATCTTTTGATTATGGTGATGGATATATCTTTGATATTTTTTATGATGATGGATGATCATATTTTTATGCTTAACCTTGAATTGTTCATATATGTCCATCTTGTCTGAACTTTTAGCTCAATTTTTGGTTACTTATTAATATTCTCTCCTAATTGTTATTTTCCTCCTTTTATGCATGATTTGTCAATTTCCTACAAAAAGGGAGAAAAGGGGTACATATTGTTTAAGGAGGAAATATCATGTGTGATTTTGAGAACGTTGTTTCAATTTGTTTTACAGATGGAACATGTGTTATCTTAGATATTTCTTTTGTGTCGTTGCTACCATATATCGTCATGTTTTTGTGCTTATTATTATATTTCTTGCATCATTGATATTTTAATCTCTCTTATTGTTAATTCTCTCTTATTATTTCTTTTCCTTCTTTGTTACGCTTTAATTTTCAATTTGTAACAAAAAGGGGGCAAAATGTGCATATTTGAGGGGGAGATATATATATTGATTGTTTAGATTTCTTTATTAAGCTTTCATGGGTAGTTTTCTTTTAGCATTGTGCAGGTTTACATGTTTTTCCAATGAAGACATGTTCTATTACCTTGACGAAGCTTCTATGATCAAAGTTCCATTGTTTTTTTATTTTTGAACAATGAATGTAATTTATTTTTCCTTCTTGGGTAGATTACATGTTGTCTTAGGGGTTTTATCATGAAATTGCCAAAAGAGAATATTGTGAGCTATTATTTTGTACATTGACTAATTTCGGTGTCAAAATAAGTTCGATCGAATTGTAATTTTCGGTTTGATTTTCAAGACTCAAGATTGGATGCAGAATTGAAGATGGACTGTGTCTCCACTTTGGCACACTCCGTGATGATAAAAAAAAATAATACCTTGGAGAGGTAAGTGTGTGTGTTAGGACACTTGTGAGTTTCATGTTTTAGGCACTTAGGAAAATTGTTCAAAAGATTTTTGTAATTTTCTAACTGCCCAGGCGGGACCTCGCGACTAGTCGCGCGGTTAAAGATTTCCAAATTATGTTTGCGAGAAAACTCAGAAGTGTAGCGGGACTGGTTGCGCCCCACTCAACCAGTCGTGCATGCATTTTTCAAAAGTGTTTGTCAAATGATTGCTTACTGTACAAGCAGGACAGGACTGGCCGTGTCCCATACAACTAGTCGCGCTCTTGCAAACCAAAAAGAAATGATTGAATCCTTGTCTAGTTTGGTTTCTTTTCTTGGTTAGATTTTTGCAAGACAATACATGCACGAAATTAAGTTGTTTTTCAAATATAATTAGGTCTTCAAAAATCTATATAAATACTTTTTCTCACTAGGTTTTGTGTGGTCCTTTGGAATTAAAATTTAAGAGATTTTGTGAAAGCCTTATAGAGATATTTTTATTCAGAAAATCAAATTTGGATTTTCTGATTTTATATTTGAGAGTACACACATAAACATGAAAGTGATTTAGGAGTGGTGTTGTCTATATGATGAAGATTCTGAGATTCTAAGAGAAGGATTTTATTTTTCTACCTGAAATTCAGATTTGAAGAAAAGAGGTGATTCAATCACACTTTGAAGGAGCCAAAGCATTCATGGAGTGTTATTAATCCATCAATCCTTCTACAAGTGGGCTTGATTTTAATTTTATTTAGGTAAAATTAAAATATGTAAAAAATGAAATAAAATAAAATAAAAATTAGCAAGTAAAATCTATTCAACCCCCAAATTATTTTTTATACAAACATTCACATCCATTCTCAAGAGCACAATTCATACATATATACACATATATAAAGGATATATAGCTCTCATATTGCAAAACACGCTTCTTTATTGAATCATCATTAAAGATATTGCTCTTAGATAATAAACACCCCAGAAGCAGACTAGCTAAGATAATAATAAATAAAAAAACAAAAAACAAAAACAAAAAATAAAATAAAATAAAATAAATAAATAAAAACAAAAACTTAACAAGTGATCGAGTTCTTGCTTTAAATTTAACCACTTACACACATGATTAACTTGTTGGATGCTCTTGAAACTTGGAGGATCCTATTATTTTGAGAAACTACAGTAGCACAGCAGTAAGCACAGATCAGTCGGATTGATGAATCCAACTATCTCCCATGTCATCCTTGAACCTTCTACAATGAGTACATATATATATATATATATATATATTAATCAAGCTTATGCAAAAAAAAAAAAAAAATTCATTTACTTTGGATTAATTAATAATCAATTAACTCTGAATTTACCTTTAATTTTCCTAACGAGGAAAAAATGTTTGAATGAAAGTCAGAACCAGTGCGAAAGTTGCGGCAAAGAAAGCCACAGCAGACCAGGGATTGCTGAAATAGTTGTGCAATAGTTGAGCCGTCCAAGTCTTCATCCTGCTGTTGTAATGCTCTTGTATTTGATCACTGACATCTTTAATAGGGCCCTCCAAGGAAAGATATCCACCCCCTGTGGCCATGGAGTTGAATGTTTTTGCGACTTCTTCATCAGTGCCGTAGAAGTTATGAATGATGTTATGTGTTCTTAGCTCGATCACATCTTCAGTTCCATTTATGAGTGAATTCATGAAGTAGATGTAATTGCACACCTCTAGGCGATTTGATGAATTGGGTGCCAATTCATAGGCCATCATGTTTAGAAGTGCATATTTTATTCCCCAATCAAATTTGAGTTGAGGTAGTGTGAGCAATCCGTAGCCAAACTGAGAAGTGAAAGTGGAGTCATTCAAAGAAAATGTGTTGCTAGGCCTGAAATGTATCCCCCTTGCTTTAAGTTCTGTGGCTGAACGAAATGAGTGACTATAAACATCCTTGAGTGGGTTCCTCTTCTTATTCCTACTTTTTGGTCGCCAGCAGGGAATATTAATGGTTTTGAAGGAACCGGTTTGGTGTGGTACTTTTTTCTCGCCGCTGCTGCTGCTAACTACTACTTCTTTTGTCCGAGAGTCCGTGATAATAAATCTTCTCCTTACAAGGTCTAGAAAATGAATGGGCTGCTCTACCTCTTGCTTGTAAGTTTGTTTTCTCCACGTTGCATTGTTATCTATGTAAACTTGGACAACGAAATTCTCGATGAATTCCTCCAATACGCTTTCTGCAGAACTGCTACTACTTATCAAGACCTGGAGAACTCGGAAAGGAAGTTGGTTTTCCAGCAAAATGATGTCCGCAATTATCCCACGCATACCAGCTTCTCCTACATGCTTCACTAGCTCATCTAGAAATGGCCCTCGAGGAGAAACGTTGATATATATGAAGTGCAGGAGAAAACAACCATCAAGGAGCATCATACGGGCGAATGCTGCGTCGTCATAGGCGTCTGTTGAGCCCTCAAGGTAGCAGTTCCTAACATCGCTCACCACTTCTACCATCTTGTTATAGATTACATGGGGCTCAACTTTGCTTCCATCTATGAATGCACGTACCGCTTTGGTCTTGAACTTCTCCACTTCCTTCAACTCAGGCTTGCCATGGTGATAAGGACCGATTGAAACAACTCGAGGATCAAAAAATCCCTTATTTTCCTCCTTCTCCCGTAATTGTGGTGGAACCTTGGATAGCCGCTTGTGTGAAGATGCAACGAGACTCTCTTTAAGTATGGATATTATCCACTCATCAGCTGTGATTTCAGCACCGGATTCGTTGCTAGCTTCGTTTCTAGCCTCTGCCCAATTAATGTTGCTCAAGTACCCATCATCACTTTTTGCCATTTGATGTAGAAACACTGTAGGCAACCCAAAAGGGAGCAAATAAGAGATCAATTGAATGGCAGTAACTGAGGCCAAATCAAGAAAAAAATGTTGTTCCTTGTTGCAGCAAAAATTTGAAGAAGAAAACTGGAGTTGGACAAAAGGTTTTAAGTTCACTAACAATTCTGCTATATTGACTTCATTAATGGAGTAATCTAACTCCATATTATAAACCAATTAACTTTTGTCCCACATGATACATACAACCATGCAACATAATAATATAAAGTATAAACAGGTTGCATTCCCTAAATTATGCTGGGAATTTCTTTGTCGTACTGCCAGTCTGCCAGTTGTATGAGACTTATTATTATAATAATAGTAATAATAATAATAATAAAACTATACACAAAATGTTTTAGGTCGTTTGTTCATTTTTTGATTGAGATTGAAGATTTCATATTCATCGGTTGTAAAACAGAATTTCTTGCAAATTTAATAAAATCAGTTTTTGAAAAAAAAAAAAAAAAAAAAATGAGAAGAAGATCACACTTTGAATGGATCAAAACGCTTGTGGAGTGTTGTTTTATCTACCAACAATTTTTTTATGGAAATCAAAAGTAAGCTTGTTGTCGAGAACTATTGGACAGTGGAGTCGCAAAGTTGGGAATGGTCAGTAATTGATTTTTGGTAGAGTGATAAGGTGTGAATCCAAGTCAGAATCGATTATACAAAATGAATCCTTTTGCTCTAGACCCTGATTGTGCAACTCACCGCTTTGGCTACGTGTTTTTAGCATTATATTTGAATTTTTGTATTTCTCTAAAAAATTTTCTTTCTTAATCTTTTGCCATTTTTTTAAAACGTACTCGTTCTTTTATTGTATATATCATCATTCCATCACCATATTCATTTTTAATAAACCCCTTTTCCTTAGTTTCAGCTAAGATTTCCTTTGATATAGACGTTCCTAATCCAATCTACCATTTTGGATAACAAATTATTTATATTTTTCTTCCAATTCCAGTGTGTTTCTTGTACTATTTTCTCTCTCAAATTAGCCTTCTATTACCTTTCAAATATTCACACTTTATGTGGTGATGTCCTTTCATTATATTTTGAATGTTTGGTTCTTTGATTAAGAGGTCTAATACTAACATTATTGGAGCACTACAAGACACTCCACCCCGGTGGCTCTCTACAATAATTACTAAAGTGGCTCTCTACAATAATTTTACTTTATTAAAGCACTTTTTATGGAAGTAGTGTCCCCCATATATGGCTGAAAATGCATCTCCTCTTTGGGTTCTTTGTCAATGTTCAAATTTGCAGTGGTCCAAGGAATATCTTCTTGTGGCCCACCGTAGGTTGTTTTGTCCTTCCACGGCGTTTTCAAGGTTGTACAATCCAACAAAATCCAATTCCGGGTCTTCCAAGCAAATATCTTTTACAACAAAGCGCATTGTCGTACCACTAGAGTTTTGGCGCAGTGGCATAATCCATGTGGCAAGTGGCAACCCTTGACAGCGTACTGTATTATACTGGATGATCAAAATTATGCGTGTAAATTATTTTGATCATCGGTGCTATTTGGTGCCTTATTGTATTAGCAGAGGATCCAAGCTCCTTTCGGGTCGTGATAATCATTGTAGCTTGTCTGAACCAATCATGAAAATTAATTGTATCTAAGACTCAAATGATGTCTCTGTCTCTTAAGATTTAAACCATTTTAAGTGGCGTTCACTTTTTTCAATGATATTCGAAGTGGATTATCAAATGTGCTTATCATTTTCCGCGATGTTTAAAGTGAATTATCAAATGCATTTAATTGAATAAGTGTTGAATGAGTAATGATATTCTGTCCCGTTAAATTGGCCTACTCCTAGTCCGAATCTTACATGTAATTATCATGTAATTACCTAAATAGTGAATTTTATTTGCACACTAAAGATATCAAAAATAAATATAGAAAAAACTGAAGAGGTTTTGACGACTTCTCTCTATCTCTGTGATTTCTCCATTCCTCTTCATGACTCACAGTTCTCTCTTTTCCACTTTGCAAAATTGAAGAGAAAACAAAATAGTGAGAAGTCTCTATTGGTTTATAAAATCAAAGGGGACAATACATATAAACGTATATGTTTGCTTGAAAAAAAAAAAAAAAAAAAAAAAACCCTAATAAGACTGAAGGTATGTTTTCATTTATTTATTTTTTCCAATATATATTTTAGCTTCTGTATATTGTATCAGTTTTGGGAATTTGATTGAAAAAAAAAAAAAAAAACTTCAAAAGTTCATTACGAAGTGGATGCGAGGGAAAGAATCAAGGAAGCAACATAACAAAAAAGAGGAATAGAGAAATTAGAAAGATAGAGAGGGGTTGTCAAGACCTCTTCAGCTTCTTTCCATATTTATTTTTGGTATCTTTATACCCAAATAAAATATCAACAATTTAGGTAATTACGTGGCAATTACACGTAGGATTCGGACTAGGAGTATGCCAATTTGATCGGATAGAGTATCATTACTTGCGCTAAATACATTTAGAATTAAACGCTGAATTGAGTAATCAAACAGCATTTAAGTGTCTATCTTTTTATTCTTATCAATCCCCAAAATAAGTGTCTCATTTAAAAAGTCAATATATTATTATTATTAATTTTTATTACCAATTTAACATCTTACATTGAACCAATAAAAAGTAAATTAACCATCATATCACTGTGGACTCACTAAGAATAAATTTGATAATTCATTTGCTATTAATACAATAAAAATAATACTCCCTCCGTCCAAATTTAAGTGTCGCTTTTGGGGAGTAGTAATTTTTAAGGGAACATGTGGGATATGCATTGTCTCCCTGAAAAGTTACTAAAATGCCCTTTTAAGTTTTGAATAGTCAAGTTTGAAACTTAAAGGACATTTATGGAAAGATGTAAAATATATTGTTTGAAAAAGGAAATTGGATAATTTTTTTGGAACAGACAAAAAAATGAAAGTATGACACTTATTTTGGGACAGAGAAGTAATAAAAATCATTCTATTAAAATATTTTGAAAAGGATGGAGTATTTTTTTTGCTTTGACTTTTTTAATTTGACAACTAATTTGAAACATCACAAAGACAAGATGGATTGCTAATATGGGACAGAAAGAGATGTTGGAGGATGGTTGACCCTCTAGCTTCTTACCGTTGGAGGTTGAGCCTTGGGAGTGTGCCATTGTTGATAAGTTTGATGTTTAAGGGATATAGTTTATCTTTTGCAGACAAATAGTGAGTGAAGAACTTAAGAAAGAAGGTTGTTATTTATAGGCTCAAGAACGAATCATTTGATGGCAAGTGAAAAGTCTTTCTTGATTTCCTAACTTTGATGTCTATGGGAGCTAATAAATCTCCTTGAGACTCACTCATAGGGATTCTATTAAGATGAGCACTGGATTCCAACTAATCCCATTCAATTTTCTCAAAGTAACAGTTATGGTGATTTTGCATACCCAACTGTTGGGATTTGTATGTCCTGGCATATATAGTGAATTTCTATTTGGATTAAAGTGACATATGTTTCTGACAAAATTGAAATATTTATACTTTATACAATTGATGAATTCAATGTATTTTAATTCATTATGAAATTGATAGTGTCCATTTGATTACAAGAGATATTTATATGTATATGATGGCGATCAATACATGAACATAAATAGTAATCATAAATAGTTCATAATCGATAATTATGGATAGACTCATTATTAACTAAGACTTGAACTAAATTTGCATTAGGTTGAAATATGTTGCGAGAGCCGTCATATGCAATTGCTCCCTATTTGGCATTTGACTCTTAAGCATGAAAGAAGTATAGACTATTTTATTAGTTAGTAATTACTTTAATTTGTTCGGCGGATTCTTCAAAATTCATAAATCGGCACTTTGGGTAATTATGTAATTAATAGTTAGAGGGTTATATTTTCAATATTTGCATCATTGCTACTTATATTTATTTTGTATTGATTATAATTGATCAGAAAGTAAATTCGAAGGCTATGTGTTGTTCGACAAAATGATTTATTATATATTTATTTATTTAAATTATTATTTTTGTCAAACAAATCTTTTATTGTGATCAAGTTGAAAATAATCAAAGGTACCAAAATAAATATATTAATTTAGTAGTTAGATTAATGGCTTTATTTATCCGATAACTAATTATGCATAAAGGGAAGTATATACTCTTAAACATGAGAGAAGTATAGACTCTTTTATTAATTAGTAATTACTTTAATTTGTTCAGTGGATTCTTCGAAATCTATAGATCAGCACTTTGGGTAGTTATGTAATTAATAGTTAGAGGGTTATATTTTCAATATTTGTATCATTGCTATTTTTATTTATTTTATATTGATTATGATTGATCACAAAGTAAATTCGAAAGTCGTGTGTTTTTAAACTAAATGATTTATTATATATTTATTTATTTGAATTATTATTTTTGTCAAACAAATGTTTTATTGTGATCAAGTCAGAAATAATCAAGGGTACCAAAATAAATATATTAATTTAGTAGTTGGATTGCCGATAACTAATTATACATAGAAGGGTCAAAATGCAACATTGATTTAGAGGTTATTTATTATTTATTGAAGTTTAATTAGATTCTTTTAGTGGAATAAAAATTAATTTATGAATTAATTAAATTTGGTCTATTATATAATGGATCGGGCCAATTATTAATTCATTTTAGCCAAGAAAATAATAAACCCTAAGGATTCTCACTCATAGCCTAACTTGATATTCCAGGCCATTAGATTTGAGATATCACGTGAATTTTAAAGATTGAGAAAAATATATTGTCTTTAATTATTAGATTTGAGATATCACGTGAATTTTTTAGATTAAGAAAAATATATTATTTTAATTATTATTTTTATTTTGCCCATATATGCATGGATCCATGTATATTTTAGGTTACGCCTTTATGTAATAATTTTGGAAGGTAAGAAATTATTTTACTCTCTCTAAGATTTTAGGATTAGTGTTC